GAATAACTTCATGCTTAGATCCTCCTTCCTCCACCTCTCGAGTGCTGGGCTTACAGATGTGTGCAACCACGCCTAGTTTATGCGACACTGCGATGGGACTCGAGCTGCATGTTTGCTAGGCTCTCTATCAGCTTAGCCAACCCCAGCCCTGAATTATAGTCTATGCTTTTTCTTTCCTTTTCCTTTAAAATATTTATTATTTTACGTGTGTGTGTGTGTGTGTGTGTGTGTGTGTGTGCGTGCGCGCATCATATGTGTGCAGGTACCTAAGGAGACCAGAAGAGGACGCTGGACGCCCAGGAACTGTAATTATAGGAGGTGCTGAACAACACAATGTGGGTGCTAGGAACAGAGTATGGGTCCTCTGGAAGAGCGGCAAGTGCTCTTAGCCACTGATTGGTCACCTCTCCAGTCCCGCCCCTTCTTTCTTATGTGACCAAGAGGCCAAAACAAACCCATAAGGGAACCCAAAGATTCCCACTGGCCACATGAAGTGACCAGGATAGCTCTACTATCTGGTTGAAACAGCCCGTTAGGCAAACACAGCAGGAGCCGACCCGCACCCCTCAGAGTGTTCCCAATGCTGACCCTAGAAAGAGAAAAGCAGAATGAGTCCTAAACTTTAGCAGTGAGGTCGGGGGGGGGGATGAGGGCAGAGCATGCTAAGGGAAGCTGGTGCCTGGAGACTTGGTTGCTCCCACCTCATCTGCCAAATGTCCTCTTGGCTGACAGTGTGTCAACCTTAGGCAGAGCTCCCTGCAGCTGAAGCTATCCCACCGTTTCTTAGCAACACTCAATGGTTAGAGTAGCGCCGTGCCGCCTGCCTGGTGGGTCTTCGTTTACCCTAGACAGTGCTCCTGTCTGCTGCTTCCTCCTGCTGACTGGGGAGCACAGAGCATGAAGTCTGATGGAAAAGAAACACACGCACTGGAGGTTATAGACCGAAAAGGGTCAGTCAGGGTTCCAGTTGCAAATGGACAGAGAGAGGAGACCTCTGCGAGCATGGGACATAACAGCGTAGGCACGAAGGAAGAGAGGGAGAGAGACAGCGGTACCGGTCCTCTAGGCAAACGCTACCTCCTTCTAGCCTGGTTCAAATGCTCCTTTCCCCAAGAAGTACCCCAGCTCTTCCACCACGCTCTCCTCCTGCACTCCTCCAGGAGCAGGCCATTTTCAGAAGGCCACACTCAGCCTTCCTCCAGGACTCTGCATCTCTGCGCCAGAATGGTAGTCCTATTGAGGTCAGGGGTTTTCCCCTATTCACTGCTGTATCCCCAGCCTTGGGAACAACATCCCAGCACTACAGGTGCTCAGAGGAATGGATGGGAAATACCCACCCTTAGTATGTGGGCTCCTGACAGCAGGAACCTCATCAAATTCCTCCTGCTAGCCAGCACTATCATGGCACCTGGCTGAATCTGTCCATAGTATGAATGGCTATTGATTTGAACCATTGTCTCCTGCTCAAATTATCACCGCAGGACAAGGCCTTAGAGGCACGGTGGTGTTCCCCCAACCCCCAGCAGAGTCACTGGGGCTCTATTAAGGGCTCCAACTGGCAGGAGGCTGACACAGCAAGCCCGTATAAAGCACAGGGCCACTTCCAAGGCTACGCTAGCCAAAGGAATCACAGGATAGCCCAGACTCACTGCTCTCTGTCTCCAGGAATACGCAGAGAGAAGGACTCTGGAGAAGTCCTCAAGACACTGGAGCAAAGTGAAGCTGCTGGGAAGATTTGAGCAGAGAGATGACACATGCATCCTACACTTTAACAGCCATCCCTCCTCCTCTCCCCTCCCTTCATGGTAGGAATCAAACCTGTGCATGCTCAACAGGCATTGTACTGGTGAACGACACGACACCCTGCTCCTCCTCTGTCCTCCTGTTCCTCTGAAGTTGAGAGTCAGGAGCAAGCCCTCCACCCCCGCCCCACAGCCACTGCCCTTTTCCAGAGAATCTACTCCACTAAGGGCAGAGCACACTCAGGACAAAGCTAGAACCACAGGGTGTCAGAGAAAAGGTTCCTTCCTCCCCTCCTGCAGAGCCCCGTTACTGTGTTCTATCCCCAAGACCCTTGGTTTTCTACAGCTGGATAGCCGCTAGGGTGCAGGAAGGTACAAAGGGGATAGCTCATCCCAGGAACCAGTGTCCTGTTGGCTAATAGTGGCAGTGCTGGCTCCCCGGGCTAGATGGCAGGGAGGGGGTTTCAATGGACCCAGGATGGTCCCATTCTTTCTTTTTACTCCCCAGCTGGCCCCAGGCATGGCCGCTGTGAGCATGGCTACAAAGGGCGCTGTTCTCGTTGAATTCTGTTTGCACCTGGCTGTCTAAGTCTCGCTCTTCCCTGATTTCACTAGCGGGGCACATGCACTTTGGAACAATCTGAACAGCCAGAAATAGACTCCGTGTTCAGGAATGTAGGGCTTCACGCAGCAAGTATTTAAGGTCCCGTCTTATGTGGCCAAGAAGACAGCAATCACAGAGCCCCATTGAAGAGCTGTCTTGCCCTCACGGACTGTGCTTGTGTGCCAAGGACCCGTGGGACAGGTTCCTCTAGGCAGCACAGAGAAACAGAAGTGTATGGCTGCTGTGGTTCTGGGTTTTTGAGCCTGAGACTCCAGACTGCTCAACGTAGGGCTCCTGCCATTTGACTCTGATCTGGAAGGAACCAGGCAGACATCAGGCTGGGGTTTCAGCTTATACTCAGGCTAGAAGCACAAGCAAGGGTCAGCCATCTGTCAAAAAGAGCAGTCCCTCCCATGGGCCAGTCCCTCACCCCCAGGTGCTAGGCACAGGCTCTCAAAAGGCAGAGGAAGTACAGTAGCTCAGAGCTCAGGCTCCAGGGTCAGTTGGTCTGGATTCAAACAGCATCTCGCACTCCCTTTCTGCCGGCTACTTCTTCCTCCAGAAGCCTTCGTTTTCTTGTGGGTAGAGTGAGTTTGCCTCCCGTGTCATGAAGATGAGGGTTATAACACCTGTGTGGTCACTCCTGTGTGGTGGTAATTACCAGCACTTGGCCAGCTAACATGTCTCTCCTGTGGTGTAAGCTCCAAGCCTTCCCGTCCTTTTCCACGGAACAGCCGTTTCAAGGACATGGGACCTCACAGAGGCATCATTATGGCTCTCCCAGTATAACCTCAAAAGGTTGTCTCAGAGGGGAAAGGTTTCACTAAGGATAGATATTTTTCTTGGAGAGTATCTGTGTCGTTTCGTACAAAGCAAGGATGGAGAGCTGAGAGCCTCTTCATCACAGCACATTCATGGATTCGTGAAATTCTAGGTACTGTCTTTACTGTTCTTAGGGTCAGTAGTGTGGTGTCAGTCTCCTAAGTTTTGTGCCACCAGGGGGCGCTGCCCAGCTGGTTTCTATTTAGCTTCCTTCTCAAGGAAACTGACTGAGAAGCCGGAGTACTGGGAGAACTTACTGGGAAGGGACAGGTTTTTGCTCAGGGATGTGTGCAGCTGGCCTCGTCCTATAGTCTGTGGCCCGGTAGGCTGAGAATGCAGTCACAGGCACTCTTCCCGTAGGTTAGGCTACTTACATTTCCCTTCTGTTTCTTCAAGTGCCCTTCCACACTGATGAGGCAGATAAGGGACACTTGCCTGTTGCCAACTCCAGATCCTCACGTGGACCAGAGGGGGAGGTGGCAGAGTGAGGGCGGGGGAGGCAAGATCTACCCAGCACAGGTGTCCATGCTGTCTCTGCTCCCTCTCCTCCCACCCCAGGGTGTACAGTGGTCTCTCCCTCCTCTTGGGGGATATCTGCAAGGGGCTGGGATTCAGCTTTTATGGGAAGCCCTTTGTACTCAACCAAAGATCTGCTTCCCGAGAACACTCGCTGCCTGTTTAGGAATCCTACCTCGCGGAGGCTTCTAACACACTCCAAACTGCCATGCAACCCAGTCTGCCACTCTGTCCAAGTCTGGCTAGATCCTGAGATACAGTTTCACTGCGCCGGCGTGTCTGGGCCACCATTCACTTGACTTTGAGCATCATTCAAATACTATAGTGAAACCTCATTTATCCTCTTAATGACCATGCCCCTCAAGGAAGAAGAAGACCGCTGGAAAACCCTAGGTGACAGCACGGGGGAAGGTCTTCAGGGAGGACCTGCCAGGGCCTCCTGGTTGGCCTCTTTTTTCTAGAGGGATCTGGAGAGCGGACTCTGCCCCTTACCACTGGCATTAGGGTCCCTGCTCAATTGTCCTTAAGGTCCCTGCGGGAGGAAGGTGTGATTAAGACCCCACCCTAGCCACAAGGGGGAGCAGCAGCACAGGGGTTACAAGACTGTGCCAAGGTCACTCGGTAAAGGAGGAAGCTGAGCTCCTTGAGGAGCCGACCTGCCTTGGCCGATGGCATTAGCACCGCTACTGGTGAGCGGCACCCCATGCTCTAGTGCTTTAAGTCTTCCTGTGACAAGCATGGATGTTCTCCTGATTTCTCATTTCATAGATGAGCAAATCTGGGTTTAGCAGGGCGCCTCGGGTGAGATTGACTTCAGATCTTCACAGACGTTAGGTCTGCTAAACCAGAAACTCCCACCCTCCTCTCCTCCCGTGTGCTTTGGTGCCTCAGTTTCCCAATGTCAGTGTGTCCTCTTCTGTTCCTGGGACCTCTGCTCCAGTTGGTGGGAGAAAGAAGGAGAAGGCCTTGTACTGGGATGACAATGACCAGCCACTCTGGGGTTTTCTCCCACTTACCTTCCCCTCCCAGAAGAAGCCACAGCTCTGGGATTTCATCCTGTGTTGGTCAGTTTGGGTGGGAAGGAGACGGGAAGGTTCTGGGTGGGGAAGGTCGGCGCTGTGTCACCCCCAGCCAAACAAGGCAGGGCAGTGAATGGCCAGAGCGGTCAACAGCCACGTGCTCAGGACAGTAGTGGAGGGAGCCGACTGTCTTTGGGGAGAGGAGGCGGGCGCGCCCCTAACGAGTAGGGGGCGGGGAGGGCGAGCAGGAGGAGGCAGGTTCCGGCAGAAGGCATGGGGGTAGGGGGAGGCCGAGAGCACGCGGACAAAGGAGGCGGCCCTCAGCCCAGCTGTTTTGAAAAATGCTTCCTGTTTCTTTAAAGGCGCTCGCGGCTCGGGCGGCTCGGGCTGGGGAGGCGGCAGCGGCGGCGGCGGGAGCAGCCTCCTCTCCGGGCGGGCGGCGCTGAGTGATCTTGCGAACTGGGCTTCTGTGTAAACTGAGGCTAAACAAACACAGATGGAGCGCAGCGGGCGTTCTGCTGAAATGCTGGCAGCGCGGCAGCGACTTCTGATGACACTCTGAGCGCTCCTGGGGGAACGGGCAGCCTCCGAGGCTTCACGGAGCCGGAGGCACAGCTGCCCCGGGAGTAGGGGAGCGAGGGAGGGACCCGGGGAGGGAGGGTAGGAGGAGAGAGCGCGGCGACAAGGCGGCGCTGAGCGCGGCGGCCACCGGGCGCAGCCAGGCGCTCAGCGTGCAGAGCGATCGCAGCGGGCGCGCGTCCCGGGCAGTCCCACGCCCCTGCCTGGCGCCGTCCGCGCCATGAAGCACATCCCGGTCCTCGAGGATGGGCCGTGGAAGACCGTGTGCGTGAAAGAGCTAAACGGCCTCAAGAAACTCAAGCGGAAAGGCAAGGAGCCGGCGCGGCGCGCGAACGGCTATAAAACTTTCCGATTGGACTTGGAAGCACCCGAGCCCGGCGCCACGGCCAGCGCCACCGCCGCCACCAACGGGCTCCGGGACAGGACACAGCCGTTCCCGATCGCGACCCCAGTGCCAGCCTCAGTGGCGCCGGCGGTTCCTCCAGGTGGAGGCACGGACACAGCCAGGGAGCTCAGGGGCATCCGAGCGCCTGAGGTCTCAGACGCGCGCAAACGCGGTTTCTCTCTGGGCACAGTGGGACCCGGACTACCCACGCCGCCACCGGCGTCCCAGAGCTTGGCACCCGGGCGTCCCGAGGTGCAGCCCTACCGCGAGCCGGCTCTGCGTCCCCGCATTTTGCTGTGTGCCCCTCCCGCGCGCCCCACGCCGTCTGCGCCTCCCGAACCCCCAGCGGCGCCACGAGAGTCCCCCGTGCGCCCTGCGCCCCCCACGCGCCCGGGGGAAAGTTCCTACTCGTCAATTTCACACGTAATTTACAATAACCACCCGGATTCTTCCGCGTCGCCTAGGAAACGGCCAGGCGAAGCGACCGCCGCCTCCACGGAGATCAAAGCCCTGCAGCAGACCCGGAGGCTCCTGGCCAACGCCAGGGAGCGGACGCGGGTGCACACCATCAGCGCAGCCTTTGAGGCGCTCAGGAAACAGGTACCCACTCTCCGCCGAGGGACACCAGTGGCAGCAGTGGGTGGGTGAGTGGCCCCAGGATTGGAGTCAGGATAAATAAAGGGGGTCCCGCAGCTCAGGCAGGTTTGAGGTATCACTGTTGCCACGAACCTTAGTTTGCAAAGTGGCCAAAGCTGAGGAGCTCTGGTTCATACACACCCCGGTGTTCCCGAGGGGTAACCTTGTCTGACGTGTGTGGCAGCGAGTTATTATTTGTCTTTTGGAATCCCTTGGGCTTGGTGGGGAATACAGAGGGGGAATATGGGAATCTTCCCCTGGCAGGGGAGGGAAGCTCTGCACATATGGTGTGTTTGGGGTCTCGGCCCCCTAAAGTTGTCACACATCACGGAGGTGCATTCCTGGGTGGGGGGTCCCGCAATGTAAAGGGCTGTCAGGGGAGCTTGTCAGCCCCTTTGAGAGGCCCTGGCTTCCATGTTCACCCAGCTTCCTTGTAGGATCTCTGCACTTGCCTGGTTCTTGGAGTCCCTAATGACGTCGTCCCTCCAGGGACAGCTTCAGGAACTGATCTGTGGGAACTTTCCCAGGAGATCCTGCCCACCACTGCCCTTCCTCTTCTGGTGACACCAGTCACCTCTGCCCAGGAGACTGCCACTTGGAGCATTCCCTCTAGGGAGGCCTGCAGAGCTGAGTTCTGGAGAAGTCTTAGCTCCCCATCCGGTGCTGGTGGGGACTGGCCTCTCCTGACAGCACCTGTTGGGGAAGCAAAAGAATCCTTAACTGGAGAGTTACCCACGGTGGAGGGGGGGGGGCAGTTGACAATCCCACTTAAGATAAGCCTGGTACTCCCCTGGGACTTAGTTTCTCATTTTCTTAGGGACAAGTGAGATCTAAAAAAGGGTGTGGCATGGGCCTTGCTGTTCGGGCCATGCAAGGGGTTAGAGTGAGTGGTGGCTGTAATTGCTTTAATGGGTGTATTTTTTTTTGTTTGTCCTGCCACCGACTAGCTGTTTGTCTCCTGGAAAGTTACTCAACCTCTCTGGGCTTACGCCAGTCACAAACTGTTTCAGAAAACATCATCTTGGCTCACATTCTCCTCCTCCTCCTGTGGGTAAGATCAGGCAATGAAGACTTAGCCCATCTATGAATTGGCCGTGGAACCCCTAGGGAAAAGTGGCCTTTCAGCCTGAGTGTCTCATCGAGTTTGGGAGAAACGTTTGATCAGTGAGGTGGGCTGACGGCTTGTAAGCATCAGCTGTTACCCTGAGCTGTGGAGCCATCCATGCTGCCCCAGCCAGCTGGCGTGTGCCCGTGTGCCTGGCCAGCCTCAGCCTGTGGGGCTATCTTGCGGTCCCTCTCTCGGGATGGAGGATGGCAGAAGGGCAGGAAGCTGCCTGTGCCTCTGCTTCACTGGCCACTAGGTGAGCCTTTCCTGAGTCGGGAGTCACGAGCCCAGAGCCTCCCTTTATCTGTGTCCGGCCACCTTCTTCAGCCTTCCCCAGAGACGGCATTCATGCCTGTGGGTTCGTCTGTGTCTCTCGTGTCCTGTGACTTTTGTGACTCTCTACTAGGAGTCCTATTTTGTTTAGTTTTTAGCATTCCTGTCAGGATTGGATAGGCCCATTTGTGGTAAGCGTTACTGAGACCAGGAGAAGGTAAGAGACTTAGCCAAGATGTAGTGAGTGAGTTAGGGGTTAGATGGTGACAGTTTCTGGAGATCTTCTCTGGCTAAAATCTTCCCACTGGGTGGTGCCCTTAGCGACTGTGAGTGAGGTTGTTACTACTGTCTCCTTTCATTCCTGCCATCTGTGAGGCAAGTTCTCTGCACCGAAGAGTCAAGTTCAGTGTGTCTGCAGAAGGAGAGCCCACGCATTCTCAGAGAGGGTTTGTGTGTGCCCACATGCAGTTAAATGTATGTGTGTATGTTCAGTGCATGGACTTGAAGAACACACAAACACACGCACCCCTCCTGTTGCCTTATCCTAGCCCTAACCATTCTGTCCTTTTCCTAGAAGGACTGCTATTGGACACCTGCTTGTTGCCTGAGAAGGACAGACACACAGCCAGGGACTACGACCATACCTACCATGTCTCCCATCACCGTAGCACCCATCTGGTCGATGGAGTCCTGTGTCACAGGGAGTGCTTTCCTTTCCTGGGCCTCAGCCTCCTACTTGTCGTGCCTCGTGGTCTTTCTGTGTGGCCGTGGACAGTCACCTGTCCTCTCTGGGCCTCAGCTGCGAAGGGTGCTTCATGATGCTACCCCTCCCCATAGACAGCTCTTTTGCACAAAGGGGACAAAGTAAGCAGACAGTAAGCATGAGGAGCATTTCCCACACATCTGCCAGGGCCTCGGGGCTGAGCAGGGGTCTGTAAGATGACACAGTGTGGAGTCTTTATTTTTTTTACACCCCCCTTTTTTTTTTAGATAGGATCTCTTTAAATAGCCTTGATTGGCCTGCATCTTGTTATGTAGACCAGGCTGGCCTGGAATTTACAGAGATGTGCCTGCCTCTGCCTCCTAAGTGCTGAGATTAAAGGGACACACCACCATACCCAGCTCATTTGAAAACCTTGAAGTGTGTGTGTGTGTGTGTGTGTTTGCGTAGGTCAGAGGACAAGTTCAGAAGTTGATTCTCTCCTACCACGTGGGCCTTGGGGATCGAACTCAGGCTGTTGGACTTGGCAGCAGGCCCCCACTGAGCTATCTAGCCGGTCCTCCGATCGCTTGATGATAAGCACAGAAAGTTCCAGGCTTAGCATCTTCTGTGCTCTAGCTGGTTTCGTGAATAGGCGTTGTCATCATTCCGCAGCATCCCAGTCCACACAAGCCGATTCCAGGGTCTCAGGGAGCGCGTGTGAACTGGCGGAGGCCTTGTGTTTTGTGGCCTCGCAGCTTCTGTGCACTGTTTCCGTGGGTCACTCTTCAGTTCCGAGTCTGGCAGCGCATCCACGGCGTTGGGCAGCTGCGGAGCTGTGCGCTCACCACAGACCTGGCATGAATCAGGGTTAGTGAGTCTTCCCAGTGGCCAGTGCTTAACAGCTTTGCTTCTTGGCTCCTCCGCCCAGGGAACCCATCAGGCCTCTGCCTGCCATTGCAACCCACTGCCCTGCTAGCCAGGAAGGCACAGCGGAGGGGCTGGGTGGCTGCTGGCAGAGGTGCAGGCAGGAGAGGGTCCTCTGGTCTAGGGAGAGGGGGTGGGAGGCAGGTGGTCAGACTGCAGCTCTTGCCACCAGCCCAGCTGTACCGGAGGCCTCCTTGGCTGCCTCATATGAAGGCCATGTGTGTGCAGCTGGGCCTGGCCGCGTGCAGGCTGCTCCCTGCCAGGTGGGGTGGGGAGTGGGGTCCAAGGGAAAGGCCAGCTGCATTGGGAAGAGGACAGAGGGCCTGAGCTGTGGGACTCTGTTCCCTGGCAGGACCCTCCAGCTGTGCCCACCTTAGGTATGTCTAGCCTGTGAGTGGTTTTGTTCTCCCCCCTTGATGTCCATGGAGAAGAGTCAGCAGCAAACTGATAGGCCCTTACCGGCTGCCTCTCCCCGTGGAGGAGGCGTTAGAAAGTGAGGCCAAGGCTACCTCTCACGATGTGCCTTGGGGGGGGTCCCCAGGGTCCCCACCAGGTTAATTCAAAGTTATCCCAGAAGGAGAGGGGGATGATTGTCTCAACTTAGCCTCTCTTGGACTCCCAAATCCTCTGAGGTGATGCACAGGGGACCCCAGCAATCTCTGTGCATCTGCCTCCACAGTGGCTTGAGGCCGGGGTAAACCTGCTTACACTGGAAGCTCCCCACAGTTGTGAGGGCGACAGGACTGTCTCCTACCCCCAAAGCTCACACTTCCGAGGGAGACTGTTTATTGAGATTCCTGTGACATGGATATATATCTTTGGTCATATGTTTGTAGGGCTACTCCTCATCGCACTGACAAGGATAGTTGTAGAGAGTGGCCAGGATCGCTCTGTCAGGCCCTAGGTTGGCCTTGTGCCCTACTTCATATTGTAGAAACTGAATTTTTAAGGATCTTTTTAAGCAGACCTGGCAGGGACATTAAATAGCTGTAGATCAGGGTGGGAGTTTCACCCCACAGATCTTGTCACTGACACAAGGGAATCGCTTCATACAGAAGGAATCTAGAATGTCACTGTATGCAGGAACATCCTGTGCTTATAGCTCTGGGGGCCTCTGAGGCTGCCCCCCTGAGGGACTGTCAGAGGTCAAAGGGCGTTGAAAGCTCCCCTGCATGTTCTGGTAGATTCTTGATTTTTGTTTATGTTGTTTCCCCTCACTGTGACCCCATTCTGAGAAGCAGCTGTTGGGATGCCCACATTTCTGGTGAAGAAACAGGTCCTGTGAGGCCACGGTCCTCTTTAAAGTCGGGAAGATGTCCAAGGGACAGTCAGGCCCTCAGGCTGCCCAGCGAGTGTTTGTGGGAGCCAAGGGAGGGTCTAGCTTGGGCAGTGGAGGAGGAGTGGAATGTTTGGGGGCCTAGAAGATCTTGTGAAAATGCCAAGAGCTGATCCTTTGTGGAGTTTAAAGTCCAGGAGCAGGGGAGATAGCTCAGCCAGTAAAATGCTTGCTATACAAACATGAGGTCCTGAATTCAACCCCCACCTACAAAGTCAGGCAGGCTGGCGCACATCCGTCACCCCGGCACTGGGGAGGCAGAAAGGGGAGGTGGCACTTGATAGCCAGTCCAGTTCGGCTGAACAAGCAAGCTCCAGGTTGAGGAGAGACCGTATCTCAATGTCAGGAGGACACCTGACATTGGTGTCTGGCCTGCATGTGCACACTCGAACACGTGCATGTACACCCACACGGATGTGTGCAGACACCACTAGGCCTTATGGATGAGCATGAGGGAGGTCCCCTTACCATTCCGGGAAGCTGGGGAGTCTAGATGAAGAGTGGGAGCCAGGTGGCCCTGCCCACTCCTTCAGCCCCAGGCTCTTGACCCAGAAGGGGTCTGTGCAGGCAGTGGGGTGTGTGGATGGGGCCTGTGACTTGCTGTAGATGCTCACCCAGGTAATGTGCACAAGTGGGACCTTCTGGGATCGCCAGCCCCAAACTCCTTACTCAAAGCTGTCCTCACCCCCAGCTTAAGCCAGTTGAGAAGAGCCCTGGTCAAGCCATGACTTCAGAGCCCAGCACCTCTCTCCGCAGGGGGAGTCAAGTGCATCTTTGTGGAGAGGACATGGTTTCCTCCGTGATCAGCTGAAGAGATGGGTACAGACAGTGCATTCAGAGTGCCTCCAGCCACAGGGCTTTGTAGGAGGTGGCCCTTGGGGACCTTTCCCAACACCAATGTATGTCCTCTAGATTCAGTGAGGAGGGGCAGCAGTTAAGAGCACTGTCTCTCTTCCAGAGGACCCAAGTTCAATTCCCAGCAACCACATGGCAGCTCAAGACTGCAACTCCAGTTCCAGGGTTTCTTTTTAAATATTATTTATTTTTAATATGCATGGGTGTTTTGTTTTGCCTGTATAAGGGTGTTGGTTCTCCTGGAACTGTAGTTACAGACAGTTGTGAACAGCCATGTGGGTGCTGGGAATTGAACCTGGGTCCTCTATAAGGGCAGTTAGTACTCTGCACCACTGAGCCATCTCTCTAGTCCCTGAGTCCCAGGGTTTCTGGCACCCTCACACAGACTTAACATGGGGGCAAAACACAAATGCACATAAAAAAAAACACTTCAGTGAGGAACACAGGAGCTACTGTTCCTACTCTATAAAGGGGGAGGTAAGGCTCAGAGAGGTGAGGACATTTGATCTAAATCATGCCGCTGTAAGTGCTTGGGATTTAAGCCAGCTCTTCCTATCTAGAATCACATCCTAGAAGCAGAATCTTCTAGACTCTTACCTTATGGTAGCAGCCAGGCCAAGGTGTCTCCAGGCTGTGTTGTAGCTGAGCTGTTGAGGGTCAAAAGGTTGCTTAGGCACCAGGAAAAGAATGATAGTGGTTTTCTGGGTTTTGCTGTTGTTTGTTGTGAGTGGAATGTGCATTTTATATATTGGTGGCAGGGTCTAATGCACCCGGGCCTAACCTCAAACTCAGTACATGACCGAGGATAACATCAAACGTCTTCTGGTGCTCCTGCTTTTCCTCTCATGTGCTGGGGTTACAGATGTGGACCATTACTCCTGGCTCGTCCAGAGCTGGGGACTGAACCCAGGGTACCAAGGCATGCTAGGCAAGCACTCTGCCAACTGAGTGTCTCTCGAGCCCTGGCACCAGGACAACCTAGAGGGAGCCAAGTAAACCAGGGAGCCAGCTTGTGGTAGGGGAGGGATAGGGGTAAGCCGTCTGAAAGCCACTGTTGGCTCCTGTGGCCACCTTGGTTAGCAGAGGAGTGTCCTGCTGTATGTGCCTTCCCTGGGTGCCAGGCAGATGAGCTGCTGGCCCCAGCCAGGTCTCAGCCGATTGGTCTGCGATTCAGAATGTCACCTGTTTTCCTCATGTGCATATGGGACATTCATCTCGACTTGGGGCAGATTTCAAATAGGATAATGTTCTGAGAGGCTCTGGCTGTGTCAGAGGGACAAGGGCTCAATCCATGGTTTTCTTTCAATTTATTTGACCAGGACCTTGAGCCAACCAATGGCACAAAGGGACAAATCTGGGGCATATTGGCCCAGAACCTGGCATGGTGCTCCTGGGTTGGCCTTGGTCTCACCTGGCATTCTGGGCCCCAGCACATAGACTGTTCTCAAAGTCCTGCTCCCTCCTAGAAGCCCGGCTGTTTGGAGGGCCCAGGTGCAGAGTTGGCTGTTGAAGAGAGACTTCAGAATGATCTGTAAGGGACAGTAGTCCTGGGTCCCCAGATTCCTCCACCCTGCAGGCAGACATAACCGGGATGTCATTGTTTTGCTGACCTCTGCTAGGCTTGCTGTGTACAGTGCCCACGTCATGTACTGAATCCCTGCTGCCCCGTGAGGTCAGTCTTGTTCCCAGTGTACAAAGGCACCGAGGCTCAGAGTGAGCGTGTCATTCACTGGGTCTCAGGCTGGACAGAGTCAGGTGCTGGATCCAGGAGACAAAGGTATTGCATATGTTGTTTTCTTCATCTTCAGTGGGATGAAGGGTGTGTGTGTGTGTGTGTGTGTGTGTGTCTTGTGTGAGGGCCAGAGGACAGCCTCTGCTTTGCCTTGCCTTTTTTTTTAATTGGTTGGTCTGGAACTAACCCAGTAGTCTAGGCAGGCTGACCCACAGCTCCACGATGCTCCTGCTTCTGCCTTCCCAGTGCTGAAAGGACAAGCTAATGCTATCACGCTGGATGTTTTAATATGTGTTCTAGGAATTGAAGTCAGAACATTGTTTTTGAAAGGCATACTGATTAAACTATCTCTCAGCCCAGATAAGATTTTTTTAAATTTTATCTTTTTAAAATATTTGTTTTTATGGATATGAGTGTTTTACCTGCATATATGTCTGCATACCATGTGAGTGCCTGGTACCTGAAGAGGCTGAGAGAGGGCATTGGATCCCCTAGAAATGGAGTTACACGTGGCTTTGAGAGGCCATGTGGGTGCTAGGAATCAAACCCAGGTCCTCTGGAAGAACAGCCAGTATCCTAACCACCGGGCCATCTCTCCAGCCCTTACCATTTTATTTTATTTTTAATTACGTGTATGTGTGTCTGAATGTGGGTTTGTATGTAGTGCAATATCTGCGGAGACCAGAAGAGGCCTTGCGGCCATGCTGCATTGAGAACCCTGTGCATAGTGTGAGTTTCAGCAGCACCCCAGGCATCCCTCCAAACCCCGCTGCTCCCCTCTTGTGACAACTGGGAGCCCCAGACCTTGTCATCTGTCCCTTAAGGGATAAAACCATTCCTGGTTCAAAACCATTGACTTCAAAGAGCCCCTGGCCCGTGAGAACGCTCCTGAAATACTACAGCAGCAGTCTGTTTGCCCCCCCCCACCCCATGGTGGAGTAATGGGGAGTTGGTGATATGCTGTGCATAGGTGCCAAAGAGCTATAGACGGGACCAGAGCCTTGGATGCTAGTGGAGCATTTCAGCCATTTGGGGGAACAAGGGAGAGAAGGAACATGTCCCTGGTTTTGGTGGCTGTTGGGTAGATTTTGGGGAGGTACGTTCCTGTCACAGCGCCACATTCAGTCCCACTGTCCTGTGGTCATGGCTCTTTGGTGGCTCACACAGCACATGTATGGGGCGGACAATGCCAAGAAGGCAGGCTCCGCCCCCTCTCCTAGCACACACCTCTATAATTAGTGAGCAATTAGCTGCTGCTGAATCACAGGCAAATGAATCAAGTCGGGCTGTTGGCATCTATTACCCACCTGTTGTGTGCCATGCTTGGCAGTAGCCCAGGTCCAGAGAGCGAAGGGAAAGTGGAGAAGGAAGAAAACACACCACATTACTGTCTCTGAGCGTCTGCACTGAATGTCTCAGGGCCCCAAGGGGATGCATGGATCTTTAAAAATGCTATTTATTACTAAGTGTGTGCGCGCGCGTGCGCGAATGATGTGTGCCTGTGGGCACAGAGCCTCAGCAGAGGACAGAGTGGGTTCTTTCCTCCACCTGTACATGGAGTCCCCGGATTGGACTCTGGTTGTTAGGTTTGCATGGCTAGAGTTTGTACCACTTCTGTGATTCTTCTTGGGTCTAAATTCTTTGAAGGCAGGAGTTGAAGTTTATTTGTTCGCTTGTTTTCAGGAAGGATCTTCTTCTGCAGACCTAGTTAGCCCGGCACTCGCTATGTAGCCCAGGGTGGCTTCCAGCTCGCAACAGTCTGCTCAGTCTGCTGCCTTGGCTCCCCAAATGCTGGGATTATAGGTGTGCACCTCCATACTTGGCTAGGAGCCGTGTTTTTATTTTAAAAATTTTAAAGTTGTTTTGAGACTGGGTCACATGTAGCTTTGTGTGAACTTACTATGTAACTGAGATTGATTTTGAATTCCTGAGCCTTCTGCCTTCATCTCCCAAGTGCTGGGATTATAGGTATACACTACTAGGCCCATAGGAGTCAAGCTTTTGCAGGCCATGATGGAGCGTACCTTTAATCCAAGCCCTTGGGAGGCAGAGGCAGGCAGATCTCTATGAGTTAGAGGCCAGCAGAGTCTACATGTGGGTTCCAGCCCATCCAGGACTACATAGTGAGACACTATTGCAGGATTTTTTTTTAAATTTTGGGGCATTAAGTGTTCAACAGAAAAAATGAATGAACATACGAAAAACAGCACCAGAAGTAGAAAGAAGATCTGCCCCCTCAGAGGGTGAGGACAGGGCTTTGTCGGGGCAGAAACCTGTGGTACTTCAGCTGGTGCTTGGCTGTGGGTTGGCTCTCATGGTCTTCCCTGTCAAACGGGAATTCGGGCACACCCTAGAGTGTGGTGAGAGTGGAAACGTCAGATGCTTGGGACAGGTCATAAAATCAGGTGTCAGGCTGCCTCTACTCCCCTGCCAGTCTAGGTGGGTCCTGAGGGGTGCATGTTCAGCACAGGGGCCCTTACAAGCTGTTCCTGACGCCTTCTGCCATTCCCAGGTGCCATGCTACTCCTACGGGCAGAAGCTGTCCAAACTGGCCATCCTGAGGATCGCCTGCAACTACATCCTGTCCCTGGCGCGGCTGGCTGACCTGGACTACAGCGCCGACCACAGCAACCTCAGTTTCTCCGAGTGTGTGCAGCGCTGCACCCGCACCCTGCAGGCGGAAGGCCGAGCCAAGAAGCGTAAGGTATGCACCTGCGTGCAGGCCGCGACCTTAGGGGAGGTGGGGACAGTAAGGTGGGGAAACCCTGCTCGTGCCCAGGATTCCCGAGCAGCCAGAGAGATCAGTCTCCCGGGATGTTCCTGCAGACACCTCAGGGTTTTCGCATTCCTGGGATCCTGGGTGGGATAGTGGGCATGCAGCGGCTGAGCAAGTCACCTTAGATAGAAGATACCCTGGAGTCTCTGGGTTTGGGTTTGTTTGTTGCTTGAGTGAAGTCAGTGGTCCGTCTTTGAAGCCCTTCCTGCTCTTGTGTGATCTGAGGCCTAATTACCGCTGTGGCCCTGACTGATGTTATGTCAGATGAGGCCTCCCTCAATAGGTGGCAGCCTGGGAGACGCCCTCTGCAGGTTTGGGGAGTGGGGTTTTGTCTAGGGGGTGACGAGGAACTGCGGGTGAGGGTGGATGGTATCTGTTCACCCATTTATTCCATATATTCATTTTGGAGCAATTTGCTGAACAGGTTGGCTTGGGGTGTGAACTTCTTATGCAGTGATAGGGTGGTCAGAACCATATCCCTGACCTGAGAGTGTGGCCTACCCTGGGGCGGGGGAAGGCCAGACGGAAGAGTCACAGGGTGATTCTCCTGCCCAAGAGAGCTGGGCAGAGCATCTTATTGGAAGGGGCATTTGAGCTGGGAACAGTTAAAAGGCCACCAGGCAGATGAATCAGTGGACGGCACTGGAGGCAGAGAGGGCAGCGTGTACTAAAACTAAACCTGGCGCATTTAAGGAAATCCGTGGAGGGGGAAAGCAGTTGGGCACAACCATAGTTTCCTACACGCCTGATGCCTCAGGGTGTCCAGTCAGGGGCCGGAACTTAGCAGAGTTTCTGTAGCTGTCTGGGTCTCTGTTCCCATCAGGCATGGAGAAAGACGGAGAGTGGGACCTAGTCTGTCTGTGAGATGCTCACGAGGTCCTGGGAACAAGAGCCAGGACTCTGGTATCCTTCATCCAATCCCCGTTTTGGCCTGCCCCTCCCCCAGGCTCTTTTTAGGTAGGGAAACTATGGCTTGCCCTGATTTCCCAGCCGGGGAGGCCCTCCTCAGGGGGTGCCACCAGCCCTAATTGCACACTGCATTCCTGGGAGTGATTTAGCAGGGCCAATTAGGAGAGGCCCTCATCAAGTGGGCCAGAGAGGAAGCGGCACTGGCCACTCTGGGGCCTGCTTTCCTCAGGAGAGTGACATGGGTAAATGAAGGTGTGATTGATGGCTCCATGCCGCGCGTGCTCCGTGACAAAGGAGGTTGGTAAACTCTTGGTGAACTCCTGTGGCATTCAGCTGTCGGTGTGTCCCTCAGCGTTGCAGGCAGGCAGCATGGGCAGGCAGGCTCCTTACCCCTCCTACTCCTCCCTGCCTCTTTATACCCCACCTCTACTCCTGCCCCAGCATGGACCCCCGACTTTGATTGCAGTAGGCAGTGTGTTGCAGCCCCAGCAAGGGGAAAGCGGCCAGCAGACTGAGACTGCCCGCAGAGCAAAGCTTTTGGAGTCTGGTGACATCACCTCAAGGCTAAGAAACCATAGAGCCCTCCATGCTCCACAGATTAGGAATGAGTCCCCCAGCAGCCCTGGCTGTTACCTATCAGTTGAGAACCATTTCCTAGCTCCTCAAGCTTCCTTGATGATTGGGACTAGTTGGGCACTCACTCAAGGCTGCCTCAAAGATGAAATGTGTTCATGGGTCCTGAAAGGGAGGGCAGATCTGTCTGCTTGGTGATTGGTTGGAGGAAGCCTTCCCTTTGTTCTGGGGTGGGGAATTAGCATAGGAAGCACATATTTAGGTGTGTGCTATCCACTCACAGCAGAGCCTGGACCCTCATTCATCTTGGCTGTTTGGCCTCCCAGGGTACGCCTCGCTCATTGAGGTTCTCCTTCTGATGCACAGAACTGCCTCTTTGAGAAAGCCTCCTGTGGCAAGAGGGGATGGAGGCTGTGCTCTAGCTCCAGGGTTCAACATTGCCATGCGGCAGCCTGGGATGCTGGCAGGGTCCGAAGGACACCACCCCCAGCAGGGATCTACCCCATCTAGGGCACTGGCAACCACAGGAGTCTTTAGCAGGTGATAGAAGGGATGCTTACAGTCCCTCCGTATAGCTGCTCCCTGTACAATACCCTCTTTGTGACAGCCATGGGGGTATAGACACAGAATAGTTTGCCACGTTGTCCCTGCCACCTAGTGGCAACAGGACATTGTGGTTGGAGGATCTGGAAGCCAAGAGTGATCAGAGTGAAAAAGACAAAAACTAATGAAGCCATCAGAAGCCACCAGGAAGCCATGGGTGTAGGAAAGTCTGTTGGGGGGGGGTGGACAGATTTCCCAGAGCCCTGTGGGCACTTAGGGAGTGTAAGAAGGCTGGAACCCTCCACGCGGGTGTCTGCTTTGCCCTTCTGGGTCTGGAGAAGCATGGTGGCTCCCCGCCCTGTGCTTGTCCTTAATGTCACCCTCGAGGAGGCCCTGGGATAGGTAGGGTTGGTGGACCTTGGCCAGCTCTGAATGACATTGTGAGTGTACGCCCTCCACTTGACTTCTGGGCAGCTCACTGAGGGTGCCTTTGCTGCTCTTCTGTGGAAAGTGGGATGACCGTCCCAGGCTGTGCTACCCTCCCAGCCCCCTCCTACCAAGGCTGAGTTGTGGTTGTTTGCTTGCCCGTTCCTGTGTCTGGGGGACAGCTTCATGGCTCCCCTGTGCCTTTGTTCCCTTCTGTGGCTGTAACAGAATACCGCAGACTGGGTAGTTTCTAAAGAACAGGGTTTATTTATTTAACTCTTGGTTCTGGGCTTGGGCAGTCCAGTAGCCAAGGTGTTGGTTTCTGATAAGCACTTCCTTGGCTTTATCTAACCTGGCCAAGGGCATCACACAGTCAGACAGCAAGTCTGCCAGCTCAGGTTTCTCTTTCACTTACAAAGCTAGTTTTGTCATATAGGGCCCCACCTTGATGACCTCATCTCTTATAATTAACTCCCAGAAGTCCCTGCCCCATCGACAGCGTGAGTTTTGGAGTTGAGTTTCCAATACATGTGATCAGGGGCACATGTGTTGTGAAGTTGAAACCCCACCACAACTCATTTTCATTAAAAAATTGATTCCTGGGGGTAGGGAGGGATGTGTGCCATGCTTGTGGAGGTGGTCAGAGGAAAACTTGTCGGCTCTCTTTTTTTCTACCACATAGGGTCCAGGGGTAAACCCAGCTCATTGGGCTTTGTGGAAAGTGCGTTGGCCCTCTGAGCCGCCTCACCCACCACCGGACTCAGCTCTTTTTAACCAAAGTTTAAAAACTTAGGCAGTGCCTAGTACGATGGTTTGTACCTGTAATCCCAGCAATCTGGGAGTTGAGGCAAGAAGGTTGCCAAGAATTCCAGGCCAAAAAGCCTCAAGTGGAGAGAGTAGTTCTGAGACCACCAGGAAGGGTAGCAAGAGGCTGGGGGTGAGGGGAACGACTGTGAACAGGTGTCTGCTCTGCCTCCGTGATGCTGGTGGTCCTGGCCACTGTGACTGATGTCAGTTTGAGCTGGGGGATTGCTCCCTGAGCGATCATGTCCCTGAGAGACTGGGGACCCTCATTCAGGGTTACCTGTTTGAGAGCCTGAGTCCAGCGACCCCTGACCCTATGAGCCACCCTGCCCTTTCAGGTCTGTGCTAGGAACAGGGCCAACACTGAATGTGGTCCACACCCCAGGCTTCAGGTGGGCCCCTCTGTCCATCAGAGACCCTCACCGGCCATTCTTCCTTTCCAGCTCTGAGTTTCGTAAGCCCTAGCAAGGCAGAGAGCCCCACGAGAGGCACTCTAGGGAGGGCTGTCCCAACTCTGTTGTGCTGGACAGAGAGCAGCTAAGTGCCTGGCCCTGGGCCATGCTCCTGCAGCTTCAGTTTCCATAGTGGCAGCTTCTGGGATCCTCACAGGAGGAGGAGGAACACAGAGAAGAAGGAGGACTGACCTGTTCCTTCATACTTGGTCTCTGTGGGTCTTGTCCAACCTATGGACTAGGAGAGCCAGTAGCCCCAGTCTAGAACACCCCCTTCCAGGGATTTCAAATAGCTCTGCTGCAACGTCTCCTGCTGACACTGATGGGGGTCTTTGGGTCTTGGGAGTGAATGGCATTAAGCCCCTGCCTCAGTTGCTCACAGACGGTGGGGTGGGAGGACAGGATAAGCAGAAATCCGTTGAGGAAGTCAGGGGACCAGCCTGCCTATGTGGCTTGTAGGGCTAAGAAGGGGAGAAGCACCTCTTGGTGTGGGTGCCCACCAAGAGTCTGAGACCTCTCCAACAGGCTAAGATTTAGCTGTCACTTCCGCCTGGGAGAAGGAGAGGAGCTTTTTAAGGTGATAGCAGGTGGGGTAGTGGGCTTGGTTAGTTCTGGGGACTAACCAAGGGCAGACTTGCTTCGGATGGCAGTCAGTGGGGGAGAGGGGAGAGTCAGTATACACTCTGGGTGTTCAAGGCTGCTTCCTGTCTAGATGGCCGAGCCCTGGATCATCCTTTTGTGGGCTGTTCATAGAGCCTGAGTTCGCGTGGGATAGACTCAGGAGCTCCACCCTGGCTGGGTCCAGCTCCCCCAAATCTGCGTGGGTTTGAGCACCCCCTGAGGGTTCTGTCCTAGCATTGTCCCTAATCTGCCTCATAAGTGGACACTCCGGCTGTGCCTGACTCCCCCCAGGCACCGACTGCTTCCCACGTGAAACTCAGGCAGACCAGGGAGGCTCTCAAATCCAAATCCTCTAGGATAGGTCATTGAGTTAAATGCCATTTGCTACCAAAGCCTGTGGAGCCCATATATGCTGGGAAAAAAACAGAGGTGTGTGGGAAACTGCCATCCAGTTCCCCTCCAGTCGTAAAAATGGATGCAATTTATTTTTTCTGGCATTCCAATCACATAGATGTTTGTCGCCAGCTGTTCCAACACGGAGCGTTCCTTCAGCTGCCATTTCTTCTCCCATATTTGACAGTGTTAGGCCATAAGTCTGGC